AAAGATAGAATAAGATTATTAAATAATAAGTAAAGACAAAATAAGGTAATAACTCGATCACACCAAATAAGTCGTTACACAAAATGGGACTTTTCTTCATCACCTAACAAAGAATTTAAGGATATGATACAATATAATATAAGTACAATAGGTGTTGCGACACATCTCTAGTGCAATATGTCCAAGGGTATATTTTTTTGATAGTTTTGATGTACAGTCAGTCCACCAGCAACAGGTATAACGTAACTTTGTACACTAATCACCTAATATTTGACTCGGCTGGGATTTGAACTAAAACCTCATGGTTCTCAAGCCACTTTATTGACCACTAGAATAAATATGGACATACGATATATAGGACGAAAATTATATGCAAGTAGTTTTCAACATGAAATGAATAGATTTAACTTATACTTAATCCGTGAAAGGGACACACTTTGATTTTTGTTAAAACAAAGAGGTAAACGTAGACCTAGAAGAAATAGTCATACAAACAGATATTAATTGGATGCTACCAAAAGTGAAACTGAAATGGAGTAAACACCTGTAACAATGGCGGTGAGACCGGAGCCGTCGATTTCATCGGTGACTTCTTCAGCAGTGGAGGAATAGGAAAACCCAGAAGCCCCTTTTGATCTATTGAAAACCCACATAGTACAGGAACCAGTAGTTTATTTACTTCTCTCCCGTTGTTTCAGAATTGTTACGGGTACCGCGTTTAAACATGTTCCTCTATATATAGACTAGGTAAATTATTTCGCACGGGATTGTATTTTATTAAGCTTACATAATATGATCATTCGGTAATATTCGTATTTTCGATACATATACTATATTTTCAAGAACATTTTATTTTAAGGCAAAACATTTCTTCGAAATCTTAAAATGTTATATTTTTTTAATCTTCACTTTTTGTTATACAAAAAATTATGAGTCATAGAGAGATTTTAAGTATAAGAAAGAATTCTAAGAAAATCTCCATGGAAATAGTTGGTCAGAAGTAATGAACATCACACGTTACAGAGGAAACAAAAAAAGTCTTGAACAACAACACTTCCAAGTAAAGTGGAACATCACGTCCATACAAGAACATAATTAACTAAATTCAAATGGAGGTCCTTCAACTCCTTTCTTATGAACCTCCATCAATCTCTTTTTTATTATAGTACTAGATAATATTGTCCGTGCTATGCACAGGCCCAATAATATAAATGGTATGTTTTGGGGCTAATAACTGAGTTGTTGAAGCGATTGTTTGCGTGGATAAAAGAATAAGTTTTTTTATCATAAACTTGTACTTTCTTTGACGCTATTTAAGGCATAATAAGACTACCCGCATACAACATTTTGCAAATATTTTATGTTGTCAATTATCATGATTTATAGTATTTTTACGATAGATTCACTTCAAGAATCAGTGGAATTTTTTGTATTTTTTTAAAACATATTTTAGATTGTCAATTATCATGATTTATAGTATTTTTACGCAATTTTTAAATATATAAAAAAAATAAGACAAATATATTAAAATGGACCCAATATATGTTATTTTTGTTGTCTCAATTTATGTGACACAAATAAAATTTGGAGAGTCATCCAAATTTTCATATTTTTTTTTTAAAATGTTTTAAGTTATTAATTATTGTGATTTATAATATTTTTATGTAACTTTGAAATAACGTACATTACCGGTCAGTTTATCCTAATTTATGTGATATGGATAAAATTACAAAATCAACCCTTTTAAAATGTCTTTCAGATATTTTAAGTTGTTAATTATTATTATTTATAATACTTTTTTGGTAATTTTAAAATGATATGTGTTATTTTTTCTATCCCAATATATGTGAGCCTGATAGAATTCTGAGAGTCAACCTATTTTATTATATAACTTTTAAATATTTTAAATTGGTAATTATTGTAATTTTTAATGCTTTTTAAGTCATTTATAAATGATATATGTTGCTTCCTTGACTGAGACTCTTTCATTTCCTTGATTGGGACTTTTCCATTTGTGACATATATATATATACACTAGATAATGGTGTTCGTGCTATGCACGGGTCCAATAATATAAATGGTATGTTTTGGGGCTAATACTGAGGTTTTGAAGCGATTGTTTGTGTGGATAAAGGAATAAGTTTTTTTATCACAAACATGTACTTTCTTTGACACTATTAAAATGGACCCAATATATGTTATTTTTGTTGTCTCAATTTATGTGATACAAATAAAATTTGGAGAGTCATCCAAATTTTCATATTTTTTTTAAAAATGTTTTATATTATTAATTATTGTGATTTATAATATTTTTATGTAACTTTCAAATAACCTACATTACTGGTCACTTTGTCCTAATTTATGTGATATGGATAAAATTACAAAATTAACCCTTTTAAATTGTTAATTATTATTATTTATAATACTTTTTTGATAATTTTAAAATGATATGTGTTATTTTTTTTGTCCCAATATATGTGAGCCTCATAGAATTCTAAGAGTGAACCTATTTTATTAAATAACTTTGAAATATTTTAATTTGGTAATTATTGTAATTTTTAATGCTTTTTAAGTCATTTGTAAATGATATATGTTGCTTCCTTTGTCCCATTTTATATAGTATAAATAAAATTCCCAAAACCAACTCAATTTTTAATATATTTTTAAAAATATTTTAAATTATTAATTATTGCGATTTATAATATTAAAATAAAATTAAATAGAAAATGTACAAAACTTGTATCAGCCTAAAAAATGATCACGATAATTCGAAGCCTACAGAAAGCAATAAGGTTGTACGTAATTTTAAATACTTAATATATATATTACTCAGTTTGTCTCAATGTATGTAGCATAGATAAAATTTCAAGAGTCAACCAAATGTTGTTAATTGTTAAGATTTACAATACATTTTACGTAGTTTTCAATAATTTCACATTAAATAATACATATTACTACTTTTGTCTCATTTTATGTGACATTGATAGATTAATTTAAGAATCAGTCAATTTTTTTTTGTGTTTTTTTAATAAATATTTTAAGTTGTCAATTATCACGATTTATTATATTTTATACATAATTTGTAACGATAGATTAATTTCAAGAATCAATCGAATTTTTTTATATGTTTTTATTTTTGAAATATTTTATGTTGTCAATTATCATGATTTATAGTATTTTTACGATAGATTCACTTCAAGAATCAGTGGAATCTTTTGTATTTTTTTTCAAAACATATTTTATGTTGTCAATTATCATGATTTATAGTATTTATACGCAATTTTTAAATATAAAAAACAAAAAAAGACAAATAAATTAAAATGGACCCAATATATGTTATTTTTGTTGTCTCAATTTATGTGACACAAATAAAATTTGGAGAGTCATCGAAATTTTCATATTTTTTTTAAAAATGTTTTAAGTTATTAATTATTGTGATTAATGGTGTTAAATTGTCCAATAATATAAATTTTAAAGGTACAACCATAAAAGAAGAATGTACAACGCTATCTAAGCACATGTAACACTTGTCATGTGCTAAGTAGTAGATATTCCCACTTATTATATATAGTAATAGAAAAATATATATAGAAATGACATATATATATATATATATAGAAAAATATATATAGAAATAATAAATATGTAACTAAAAATCTTGTTAGCTTTTGATTGAAAGCTAACAAGATAATTACAATGATAGTTGCATTGCGGCTTATTATATATAGAATATATATTCAAAGTGAACTGGATTTAGAGCGAAATCCTCCTCCCATATCACTACCAAGCAATCAAAAAATTAATATGTGCACATGACCCCCCCACCCCCCACCCCCGCCACAATTTATGGAAATTAGGGGTTTAAGAGTGAAATTGTTCAAAATTATACAAGTGAACAATTTCAGTGCATGTGGATTATATAAGTTAGGGAATTCGTGTTTTTACTTTCAGTAGATGGTTTTCAAGGTCTTGCATATTTGATGGAAAACAAACTTTAATCAAGAAAGGTATATATGTTTTTTGCTTTTGACTTGCATTACCTGTGATCTCAATCCAATAAGTAACAGAAATCAGCTGCTTTAATCAAGAAAGAGATTAATGTTAGAAACACAAGAGTTTTGGGCTAAATTCATCCCTTAACTATGACTAAGGCTTAGGTTACATCCTTGTATTATAATAGTTAACAAGAAACATCCTTTTAGTATTTAAAATATAACAAAAGTCAGTCTTCTGTCTATTTGAGTTAAAAAACTAACATTGCTTTTTCAACAAGTGATTTTCTCTCTCCCATATCCCTATTTTACCCCTCTCAAATCTGTCCCATCGTCTGTCTTCCATTTTCAGCAAAACCAAGAAGGAAACTCAATATTTTCTGAACTTGACAAAATAATCAAGATCAAGAACAAATTTTTCTCTTCAACTAGAGTTGAAAACAGGGCAGAGAGAGAAACACAAACAAGGTAAAGGAATAAAAATCATTGAAAATTTCTAGTTTTTCTGATTCGAAAAATATTTGCAATTTTCTATTTCTCAAACTAAAACATCTTCATTCTTAAAAACACTAGATATTGCGGGTTGTAGCATAACAACTAACTGGAACAATGTCGATTCGAAGTTTACGTGGTCGATCGTCCACACCCAACTATGGTATTATCGATATTCAAGACATTTTAAGCATTTTTTAATATCATTTGCAATGCCTTTCATATTGATTTATACGTATTATTGATTTTGAAAAGCTATATTAAGTTTTTTATTTGATATATAAGGTTTTGTTTTCTGGATATTCATTATAATGAGCTTGTAGTTCTTTGTTGGCTTTATGTATTCAGATTTGTATTATATGTGCAGATTCTATGAATGAGTCATTGTTTTTCACAATTAAAGTACATCATGGTGGATCATTTGTGCGTAGTTCGACAAGAGGCTACATAGGTGGAAAAATCGAATATTTTGACTATGTCGACAGTACAATGATTAATCTAATATATTTTAAGAATATGACGGAACAATGTGGTTATGACAAGGAATCTGTGGTATTTTGGCACAAGTATGGTTTAAACTCTTATATGGTTCGATTAGTTGGGAGTAATATGGAAACCGCTAAAGTTGGTACTTGCATTCCAAAGGACAGAGTAGTTGAGATATATTTTGAACATTTGAATTTTTATCATGATGATAATCAATGTGGAAATGAGATGAAAAATAATTCTTTGCTGGCAAATGACACAGAGGCACACAGTGATGAATTTGACGATGAAGATTTTAATGATTCTGACTATTCTTTGGAGGAGGATGATTTGTTATTTTTAAAAAATGTTGATCCTTCTGTTGAATCTTTTGGGATCAATATAACTGTGAAAAATAAGAAAAATGATGGAAATCAAAATTATGTAAGTGAAGAGATGCATAGAAAGATGCAGAATGAGGAGGGTGACTCAGATTGTGTAGATTTTGATGATACAAAGAGTTTGAATAGTGATTGCGATTCTGAATTTGAAGATTGTAACTTTCCAAAGCATAACCCAAAAATAGGTGCCTTTAATCCTAAATTAGAGCTGGGAATGGTATTTGATAACAAAAAGGAATTCAAGGAAGCCGTGGTTGCAAATCAAGCCAAAATAGGAAAGTCAATTCGGTGGACCAAAGATGACAGAGAAAGAGCTAGGGCCAAATGCAGAACTAATGCTTGTAAGTGGAGGATATTGGGATCACTAATGCAAAGGGATATATCTACTTTTCAAATCAAGACGTTTGTTTCCGAGCATACTTGTTTTGGGTGGAACTATAACAACAAAACCATCAATTCTAGTTGGATTGCAAGGAAGTATGTTGATAGAGTTAAATCAAATAAGAACTGGAGAACATCAGAATTCAGAGATACATTGAGTAGGGAATTAAAGTTGCATGTGAGTATGCATCAAGCAAGAAGGGCAAAGGAAAAAGCTATTGCAATGATCGATGGAGATATAAATGATCAGTTTGGTATATTATGGAATTATTGCAATGAAATTGTTCGAACTAATCCTGGAACTTCTGTTTTCATGAAACTAACTCCAAATGAGATTCTGAATAAGCCAATGAGATTTCAGAGGTTTTATATTTGTTTTGCAGCTTGTAAAGCAGGATTTAAGGCTGGTTGTCGAAAGATTATTGGGGTCGATGGATGTTGGCTGAAGAATACTATGTATGGGGCACAATTGCTATCAGCTGTTACTTTGGATGGAAACAATAACATCTTTCCAATAGCTTATGCAATAGTCGAGAAAGAAAATAAGGAAATATGGCAATGGTTCTTAACCTACTTGATGAATGATCTTGAGATTGAAGAGCAATACTTGTGGACTTTTATGTCAGATAAGCAAAAAGGGCTCATTGAAGCTTTTGATTTAGTGTTGCCTGGTGTTTCTCATAGATTTTGTGTGCGACATTTGCATAACAATTTCAAGAGAGCTGGATATTCTGGAATGGCTTTAAAAAATGCTCTTTGGAAGGCAGCTTCAGCAACAACTATTGACAGGTTTGATGCTTGTATGATTGATTTGGTTGAATTAGATAAAGATGCTTATGCATGGCTTTCTGCTAAAGTGCCTAGTGAATGGTCAAGATCACATTTCTCGCCTCTTCCTAAATGTGACATTCTTTTGAACAACCAATGTGAGGTTTTTAATAAGTTTATTCTTGATGCAAGAGATAAACCAATTGTTAAACTTTTGGAGACCATTAGGCACTTACTCATGACAAGAATTAATTCTAATAGGGAGAAAGCTGAAAAATGGAACTTGAATGATATTTGTCCTACTATTAAGAAGAAGTTAGCCAAAACTATGAAGAAAGCTGCTATTTATATTCCCCAAAGGTCGAACATGTGGAACTATGAGGTAATTGGGCCGGTCGAAGGTGATAATTGGGCTGTTGACTTATATAACAGAACCTGTAGTTGTAGGCAATGGGAATTATCAGGAGTTCCTTGTAAACATGCTATATCCTCGATTTGGTTGAAAAATGATGAGGTTTTAAACTATGTTGATGATTGCTACAAGGTTGATACATATCGAAAAATTTATGAAGCTTCAATATTGCCCATGAATGGCCCTGATTTATGGCCTAAGTCACTGAATCCTCCACCATTTCCACCGTCTTACTTGAATAATAAGAAGAAAGGAAAGAAACAAAAATTAAGAAGGAAAGAAGATGATGAGCCAGGGGCTAGCAGGATGAAGTTAAAACGGAAACAAAAATCAGTTGATTGTAGAAAATGTGGTAAACCTGGCCACAACAGTAGAACTTGCAGTTTCTCCTCAGATGATATTGAAATTCTTCCGTTGAACTACCTTTGTAGTTTGGACTCCATCATGGTCGAGGAAGCATCAAGTTGCCAAAATGTTGAAAAGCTACCTGTAAGAATATTCAAATATTCATATTTAAGTTATTTTTATTGTAGCTTACTTGTATAACTATTCATATTTAATATTTTAATTTCTTATTTTAGGTTAGAAGAGGTACATCTCAAGCCAGCCAACAACGTCAGAGCTTTCCATTTTCTCTATGAAGTTGCAACATTGAAGAAACTACATTTTTAGTTTTGGATCTTTTTTTGGATATTTGATGTATCAAACTAATGATATGTGACTAGTTTTTGTTGTTCATTTGTTATGTTCTTGTGCATGGAACTAATGAAAAATGTTTTAGCTTTATGATGATTTAATGACACTAGACTTTGCTGTTTTTTGCTTATTTTGTGGTGTCTTTGTTATTACATTAACTTTCTGTTTTACTAAAATCATGAGTTTTTTTTCTTCTTTTCAGTTTTCTACTCTTTTGGGCATTTTTTTGCTATTTTGCTGCTAGTTTACCAGTTTTTTTTGTTGTTTTTCTGCAATTTTGCAGGTTTATTTTTTTTTTTTACTATTTTATTGCTTTTTTCTTTTTTGCTTGTTTAGTAGTTATTTGGTAGTTTAAAGTGCTCAAGATGTGAAAAGGAAAAAACGATTAGACTATACCAAATGCTTTTTATTGAACTTGAAGACAGATGATGGGACAGATTTGAGAGGGGCAAAATAGGGATATGGGAGAGAGAAAATCACTTTTTGAAAAAGCAATGTAAGTTTTTTTAACTCAAATAGACAGAAGACTAACTTTTGTTATATTTAAATACTAAAAGGATGTTTCTTGTTAACTATTATAGTACAAGGATGTAACCTAAGCTTTAGTCATAGTTAAGGGATGAATTTAGCCCAAAACTCGAAACACAACCACCCGAGAGACGGAAAACTTCTAGGAATTAGGGCTAAAGTGAGTAGTGACCCCAACTTTACTGTAAACTATTTGTAGAAGGTTTATCAGTGTTGCTTTACTTTGTTGGAGGACTGTTCCAATTTTAACGACTGTTTAGAGTTCAGACGTATCTATCACGTGATTTCTGAACACGAACAAGAGGCATTTAAAACATATCTGAAGTCCATTTTGCCCACAAACCATTCCACTTACGACAATGGAAATAAAAAGCTTAGATGCGTACATTCTACCCTCCCTAGACCCCACTTGTGAGATTACACGTTGTTGTTGTTGTTGTAGAGGTGTCTGTTCACTTGTCTCCCTGTTGCATCAGTGGGTGATTTCTTGAATCATCTTTCTTTGTTCAAAGCAAAAGTCGTTCTGGCTCTGCCATCCATCTATAGGGGGTCATGGTGTTGATAATTACAACACAGACAAAAAGGAGAGTGATGGTTGAAGGATAGCAGAATTGGTGTCAAAGTTGTTTGGTTTTGGTTAACGTTTCCTTGAGACGTTTGTAAAGCTCTCTCTGAATATCTTGCTGAAAGAGTCTGCTGTTGTTCAAGAGAATAATGTGTAATTTGTAAATGATTTGCGGATCCATGTGCATTTACTAGCTGTACCTGATGGTATCTGAGTCTCTCACAAGGACAATCTATGTACAGGGTTGTGAACGTGAAGTTACTGAGGCGGGAAAAGGTTCCTCTGATGAACTGAAAAATGAATGCATCATGCGTCTATCATGGGCTCTTGTTCACTCAAGACGTCCAGAAGATGTACAACGTGGAATAGCAATGCTTGAAGGTGAGATCATTGGAATCCTTTTTTTTTTTGGAATCCATTCATCCTTTTCCATACCCTGTGCTTGGGGATTGTTGAGTTTCACGAAAGCTTTGGTAAACACTTTCACTTATATGTTTGTCCTTTCCCTAGCTCTTATGCATTTTACCTTTTGACTCCTCTCCCTTTGCCTTTTGCTTTGCAATTTACTCTCTTCGTCTAGTCCTAAAATTAAAAAAAAAAAAACCTAATTCATTCACTAATTACAATACCCAATTTAAAAGAAAACCCTAAAATAAATAATCTTCAATTCTCTACCTAACTAACAATAATCAAATCAAATTAACAATAACACAACCCAACAAATTAAAACAATAATATACTAACTAACAATCAACTATAATCACTAGAATTGAAAAAAAAAAAACCTATAATTAAACACCAACCTTAACAAAGAGGAGAGGCAGCGACGGGAAGTGACGGACGGCAACTGGTGGCAACAGGCAAGGGCAGCGACAGCCGGTGGAGGGAGATCGATAGAGAGAAGGGAGAGAATAAGAGTGAAGAGAGAAGAAGAGAGAAGAGAGAGAGAAGAAAATAAGAAAATCCCGATCTGGGTCAAAGATATTTTAAGAAAAGTGATGGACAGCGTCTCTTTGTCCGTCGCTTTTTTAAAAATATTTGACCAAAAATGCGACGAACTAAGAGACTCTGTCCGTCGCTTTTCTTAAATGTTTGACCAGTCATGTTGACCAAAAAGCGACGGACTTAGAGATGCTGTCCATCGCTCCTTTAAAAAAATAATTAATCAATTAATTATTAATTATATATATATTCGGCGCAAAAATTCACGAAAAAAAGTGACGGACTAAGAGATGTCGTCCGTCGCTTTTTGAAAAATAATTTACGAAATAATTATTTTTATTAAAAGCGACGGACAATGTGGCAAATGGCGTCACTTTTTGGAGCAACGTCGTCCGTCACTTTTCTGTCCTTCGTTTTTTAGCAGTTTTTTAGTAGTGGGTTTAGCATTTTGGGCTAAGCCCAATTTTGTAAGTAACGTTATTTAATAAAATCTTGACCCTTTGGGTCCTTTTAATAAAAAAAATAAAAAAAATTAGTGATAAAGTTTTGGAATGTAAGCCATTTAAACTAAAAAAAATGAATTGATTGTTGTCGCTTTTTTCATTTTTTGAAAGAGTTGTTTCATTTATTTTTGTCTGTGGTTAATAATTCAATAATCGAAAAAATTGAAATCGATAAATATATAGTATATTTGATTTGATTTTGATAATTTCAAAATTTATTATATTGATTTGATTTTATTTTTTATGAATACCCTTAATAATAAATTAAATTAGGACCGTCAGTAGAAGAGCGATCAAGTGTACGATTAAGATTTTAAAATTATAAGTCTTTGTATATATAGAAGTAGAAGAGCCATAAATAAAAATGAACAATAATCAATATTTTATAAGATTTTCTCATAAAACTTGAGAGACACATGACACACTGAACAAAATTTTCCATATATTTAGGAGTCTTGCCAATTATTTAGCACGCACTTTCTTTCTTTTAGGATTCCTTCACGTACACAAGTCGCAACCTTTTAGGTTTCCTTCACCTACACAACCTTAGGTAGAATTCCTTGACCAACACAAAAATTTCCATTTATTTTGGAGTCTTGCCAATTATTTAGCACTTTCTTTCTTTCTTTCTTTGTTAGTAAATTAAAATACTTTTATGATTTTTGTCTAAAGACAAAGGAGTTGTTTACCTTGTGACCGCAAAACCCTAAAAAGCTTGTTTTCTTCGCTGGGGATTTGGATATTTGTAACTCTGATTCTACCGAACAGAGTATAATTCCCTTTTGCTCAGACCCTAATTATACTTACACCATGACTTCAGGTATACAATACAATTCTCTCTTTTCTCTATAATTTTTAATTCTAACGCTCGATATTCAACTTTTCTCTATAATTTTTAATTCAGGTGATAGATTCAATACTTTGCCAAGAAACCTTATAGAGGATATCGTAAGTCTCTTGCCTCTTCACGATGCAGCAAGAACTAGTATTTTGTCCAAATATTGGAGATATATTTGGGTCATGCGTCCCAATTTGCTCTTTGATAAATTCTTCTGCAATAAATTACAAACATCCTTCAAAGAAACAATAGATGAGATTCTCCTACAACATGTTGGACACATTTCAACCTTTTCTCTACATCTTTCAGGAGTCGATTTGTTTTCATATGCAGACATTGATAGATGGATGCGTTATGTCACCAAAAATGGTGTCAAAAACCTAATCCTTGACCTGTCAAATAATACTACTTATAAACTGCCTTCTCATATATTTAATTCTACAATACTAACATATTTGGAGATCCACAACTGTTTATTCAAACCTCCAAATTCTTTTCTTGGCTTTCCCAATCTTATAGACCTCAGAATGTTTGACATAACCTTTGTGCCAACCCAAGAGTTTTGTGTTATTAAACTCCCCCGTCTTGTCCGTTTGGCGTTGATATACTGTAAAGGTACTCAATACCTCGACATTGTTGTCTCATCTATGTTGGAGTACTTGGCTATTCGTGAGAGTCAATGTAATCTCAACCTAAATCAATTTATCAACTGCAAAAAGTTGACACAATTAGAACTTGTGGTTGATAGTCCAATACCTGCCGATGAAAGATCAACTTATCAAAAGCTTATTTTCAGCCAGCCTACACTTAAGGAACTTAGTTTCTGTTCATTTGTCCTTGAGGTAAGAATCTGATATGTTTTACTTGGATACTTGTATTCAACTGTTCATATTCTTATTTTTGTTTTTGCTCTAAAGCTTTTGAGTGCAGTTACAGTTACAAAGGGGCTTCCTTTTACACTCAACTCCTTGTCGTATCTAAGGATGTCCGTAAACGTTGGCCAAATCCATCAGATTTCTTATACACTCGAGTTACTTAATAGTTTCCCCAACTTGATGAAACTTGATATTTTGGTAAGAAATGGTACATGTTATCCGGTCTTTTTTTTTTTTTTATTTCATGTTTAAACATGAGAAACTAAAATGTTGTATTTCTTTATATCATTAATTAGACAGGATGTGATAGAGCTGATGCAATTATGAAATCTCTGGACAGGCCAACCTGTTTGGACCGACCACTCGACAAGCTCACACATATCATTATGTATAATTTTGGGGGTTCACAAGTTGAACTGTTTTTCGTAAGGCTATTGTTGGCTCATTCTCCATCTTTGGTTAAGTTGATCA